AAACAAACAAACAAACACTTGCAATATAAAGTAAGTTTCCTTGGTAGCAGCTGTGGAACAGCTCTCTCCCTAAAATCCGGGCTGTGTATCCTAGGGTGATCGAACTCTACGTCAGTTCCACTTGTGTTTTTCCATCCAACCTGCAAGCTTTTATTGATATCTTTCCATTCAATAGAAATGAGTTGGACTCTACTATGGATTGTTTTTTTGTTTGTTTGTTTTTGCAATTCCTTATTTTTTTAAAAGATTTATTTATTTTCATTGGAAAGGCAGATTAACAGAGAGAAGGAGAAAGAAAGATCTTCCATCCACTGGCTCACTCCTAAATGGCCACAATGACCGAAGCTGAGCCGATCTGAAGCTGGGAGCCAGGAGCTTCCTCAGGATCTCCCACGTGGGCACAAGGTCCCAAGGTTTTGGGCCATCTTCAGCTGCTTTCTCAGGACACAAACAGGGAGCTGGATGGAAAGTGGAGCAGCCAGGACATGAACTGGCACCCATATGGGATCCTAGCACTCGGAGCCATCATGCCAGGCCCACAAGCACTATTTTGTTCAGGTGTAATTTTTTTTAATCCTTAAAAACAACATAATTGGTGATAAATGAGCTTGTCTCTCTGAAACACATTTTCACAGGCCGTCTTAAGAAGCAGAGAACCTGTGTGATTACAATGCCTGGACACATAGATGCTTTTAGAAGCAGTAAGGAGAGTATTCTGAGGGTTTAGTTCTACAGACAGCTGGAAGTTACCTGCTACACAGACAGAAGCTATTATACATAATTGTGTGACATTATTAGTACAGACAATAGATCTTACTTGTAAGTATTTACAATACGATGTTTTTATTTTTAATCTATAAAGTCTACAGCATAAAATATTAGTGCAATTGATAGGAAACCTTAATTTTATGTCATTCACAAGCCAGCTGAGTGCCGTGTTCTCTAGCACTGGTTTTCAGGCATCAGAGGATTCCAGGTGGATGCTGGTGCAGCAGGGAGAGTGCAGGGGACCTGATTGAGTTTTTCCTATCACCGTGCCTGGTTCCTGGCTTTGTACCAGATCCAAGCTTCCTGCTGCTGTGTGCCCTGTGGTCCGTAGTGATGGGGTAAGCAATTAAGATTTCCTTTATCCAGGTGGGAGACCCAGACTGAGTTCCAGCTTCCAGCTTCAGCCGGACTCAGCGCTGTCAATTTTGGCATTTGGAACTGATGAGTGGGAGAGCTTTCTCTCACACTATCTCTCTCCTTCTTTTCTCCCTGCCCCCCAACCCTAACAGATAAATTAAAAATAGTAATTCAAACACTGAATCATTTCAAGCATATTTCATTTTTACTGACCTCTCATACATAGAGAAACAATTATCTTGAATATGACAGTCTAATCAGAATGAGAGGAAACTTTGATTTTCTAAATTTATGTAGTGGATGTGTCTGTGTGTGTGTGTAATTATTAGTTGCTTAAGAAACAACTTGTTATGAGCATTCAAAAATTTTAACACAGGAAAAAAAAATTTTTTTAAGATTGAATTGGTTCGAAAGGAGATATACAGAGAGAAGAGACACAGAGATCTTCATCGGCTGGTTCCCTCCCCACGTGGCTACTGACGCCCAAGCCCAGCCAGCCCAGAGCCCAGGGCCTCCTCTGGGCTTCCCGTGGTGCGGAAGGCCAAGGCCTGAGCTTTCCTCCATGGCTTTCCCAGTCCATAAGCATGAGCTGTGTCAGAAGTGGAGCAGCTAGGACAAGAACTGGCACCCATACGGGATACTGCCGCTTCAGGTTGGCCCCAGGAAAGATGCTTTTGTAAGACAGAGCAAGTTTTCAAGAGGTCATTAAATGCCCCATTTTGCAAGTGTGGGTGTGCTTCAACCATGGAAAATGGGCTTGGCAGTTCTGTGAAAGGGCATGAGGTATACCATATTATACGGAAAATGAAATTCAGTTGTGAAATATCAAGAAAATGGCCTCACTTAGCATGTTAAAAGGCAATTGGCTGCATGTTTTAATGCTGTATTTTATGTATACTGTTTCTCTCAAGCAGAATTAATAAAGGAAACGGTGCAGAACATAAACTGATGTTCTAAAATGTGAGTATAATGTTCAAATTTATAGAACATTTTGCAATGACTTTTGCAAAAGTGCCAAGACATGCAATTAATTTGCAGTTCCAGGTTAAGAGAAATATTTAAAACTTGAGATTTTACATTTTTAAAAAAATTTATTTAAGAACTGGAGAGCTAGTTCTCCTATCCGCTAGTGGACTCCCCAAAGACCCCCAACAGTGGAGAATATGGCTGGGCTGCAGCCAGGGGCTGAGAGTGCAGACTCCTGTGGGTGCCAGGAAGCCAGTGACTCGAGGGCCTGCTGCTGCCTGCCAGGGTAGGTGTTGGTCATACTCTGGACTCAGGAGCTGACCAGGGAGTCAAACGTGGGCTGTCTGATGTGGATATGGATGTCTCAACCACTATCTCTTCTCTATGTCGAGTTTTGTTTTGTGCAGCAAGCATTAATCATTTCTCCAGAAATGTACATTTCATAAGCCAGTCAAGAATAGAACATTTGACTCGTTTATGTCAGACCGTGTTCGTTAGAGTTTATTTTTTCATTCTTTCATCCATTAATGAGAAGACTTAACAACTGGTAGGCTGAAGAAAGATATTTTACCAATGAAACAACCGAATCAACAAGATAACTGCAAAAATTAGCCCATCTTTTCCTGCACATGGTTAATTTGCAAGAAATAATCTTCAATATTTTATAATATTTCATTTACAAAAATTGTAACAATGATTTATAGTATTTCTTCTTTCATTTTGCCTATAAAATAATCAAATGTCAAGGAAAATCAATATTCTTATATAGAAATGCATATAAATTCCTAATTTTATTTTTTTATGTACGTCAGACAAAAACGATGTTATTGAGGGGTACTTTCACTTCATTCATTCTTCTTTGTCTTGCTGTCTTACACTTCTGATTCTGCTTGTTTTGCCTTGGACTTTGAGTAGACGTTTCCTCAGAAGCAGGTCTCTTGACACAGCGTGTAATTCTTGCCCTGATTGAACATCTCTGTAATTATGGTTTCATCCTTTGCACAGAATTTCTCTTGATAAACATGTTATTCAAAGGCTTTCTTTTCTGCTTGCAGCTGAATCTGCCTGTCTTCTGCTGGATATACCCGAGGGGTTTTGGTGCCTGTCCAACTTTCCACCATTTCATATTTCCACCTTGGAGCTGTCTTGAAGTTCTTGGCACCTGTCAGTTCAGCTCCATGGCTTCTCTTCTTTAAGGAATGTCATCTGTTGACACCTGCTGGGTCGGCTATGGGTTCAATCTTTTATCAGAAGTTTTGAGAAGTTTCCTGTCTTTTGTCAGCAGTCCGGCTGATTCACATCTCTCCCTGGCTGCTGTCCTGAGTTTCTCGCGAATTGTTTTATCTTGCACAGATTTCTGCAGGTTGCTCACAAGGCCTTTGGTCCCTGATGTGTTATCTGTAGTTTCTGCATTTTTCAGTCACCCTGGCATATCTCTTGATACTTGTGTGGTGTTTGCCTTTTTCACATTCTAAGAGATGTGGAATTCTTGTTAACTTAAGTCCTTGTGTTATAGCTTGCTTAGTATTTCTTAAAAGCTTCTTGATGCCTCTTGGGTTTTTTTCTCAGTGCATTTTCCAACAGTCCTTCCAATAGTTCTTCGATTCTTCTTCGATTTTTCTTTCAATAAATTTTTCAATTTTAGTTTTGGTAATTTGGAGTGATCCTATTTTTCCCCCTTTGTCTCCTGATGTTTGTGGGAACTCTGATTGCCTTCAGGTCTCCCATGGGTTCTTATTTCTTAGTCATCCTTGGCCGTCTCTTGACCTTGCTAGCCTTCCTGGTGCTTCTGGATTCTACTTTGGAGTGCCTCTCAGCTCTCTGCGGACATGGTCACCACTCCTTCCTTTGATTCCTTTGGTGTTCACTAGAGCCCTCTGACAGCTGCCAAATTGCCTCTTGTGGAGTTTGAGCTAGAGGTCATCAGCATTTTCCTGAGGATTCATCACATGCTAAATAAAATCAAAGCAAGAAATTAGGGTTCTGCTTACATTTTTGTGATAGAATGTGATTGTTAAGACCCCATGTAGAACAGGATTCCAAAGCACACACTTCAAGTAGTGGTTTAGAATTCACCCGGGGAGTCTGCCCACTTGAAAAATTCCCTGTGCTCCACGAAAGACACTTATTGTGGGACTGGAGGGGAGAACGACAGGGAGGGGAGGGAACATGGAGAGAGAGAGGAGACCCCAGTATCTATTGAACTATGTCACAAAATAAAGAAGAAAAAAGAAGAAAGAAAAGTTGTGACAATCTTATAAAGTATGAGTGATTTTAAAAATGTTTAAAAAGTAGTTCATTTTATTATCATCTTTATTAAATATAGTCATTAAATTCAGAAAAATGCTCTGTATTCTATATTTACTAGTTAGTGGCAGTTACAAGTCAATTTCTTGAAATGTAATTTATTTATAAAATGTAAAGAGTACCTACCTCAGAAGGATGTGATGAAGATTAAGGTAATGAACAGAAATATTTAACCCAATTCCTGAAAGGAAAGTGTTATTTCCAGTGACGATATACACATATTTGTCGACATTGAGTTTGGGTGAGATTCAAATATATTCAAAACATTTCTAGTTAATCTGGGCATTCATGATTTGAATTAAGGACACATGGAAACACATTTATGAAGTAAACAAAAAGTAATTAATATTACAGAATCCTGCAAATTGATCTTGATGACTGATTATGGTTGAGGACAAGATTGAAACAGTGGCTTTGGAAGGCTGCCCTGGGAGAGCGAATGTCATGACTACAGAAGCAGAGGAGCGCACAGCTCTCTAAGGGGGAGGGGAATCAAGATAGGCGGAAAAGAGCAAGGGAAGCCGAAAGTGAAAACAAATTGACCAGATATGGTAGAACTGCAGCCAAATGTAAACATTTTTATATAAACATTTCTGGATCTTAAACCGAAGAAGAGACAACTAATGGTAATAATTATCTTTAAATTTTTCAAGGATAAACTTGTCGAAGTAGAACTAATCCTTTTGGTATGACTCCAGAAGGTAAAACTTAAAGGTTAAAAAAAGGTCAAATTATAAAGATATCAATTGTCCCATCTGTCCATTTACTCACTAACCCACATATTTATTATCTAATCTTTCTGTAACTTAAAGCAACACTGATTTGAAAGTGTTAACAATAAGTGTATGCAGAAAAAGCAGTAGATAAAAAGCAAAGGGAAAAGCAGAAAAATAAGATCAAACCTGTGTTTTGAGCTTTCTAGTAGACAGTAGGAGGCTTGTGAGTTCAAGGATTTACAGTCGATAAGTAGAACCAGATCAGTTGTCTAAGAGAACCACATCTTCCTGGTACAGAGATCTGGGAAGAGCTTCTCCTGAGCAATCTGATTAAAGAGAGAGAGCGATACTAGAGGTCAAGAATGACATCATCGCCATCTCTTCAGCAGTATGTCCCACTGTGCTTCTGACAAAGTGTTGGCACTCAACACCGGGAAGCAGTTTTTCAGATCTCAACCATGTAGTGCAGGGATGCTAGCTCCTGGTGCCTTGAATCAACCCCTGCACAGGCTTTAATTTAGAATCACCTGTAATATGGCAAAGATGACTACATGACTTTCAACATATGCCCTACAAACACCATTTTTTTCTCTCCAGGTTTTTAAAAGTGACTTTTGTTTCATTTTCAAATTACAAAAGTGATATTTAAACACATCCTGGAAAAAATTCTATTTTAAATCTATCCTTTATTCCATTACACTGAGGTGATTCAAAAAATTATATATGTGTATATATACATATATGCCATTTTAGTCTTTTTTAAGTTTTCACTTACTCAAGTAATAACAAATACATCTAATTTGAAAAGGGGAAAGAAAGAAAGCCTGACAACCAACTCCACTCTAATACCTCTATCCTGCCCACTCCTCCCACTTGGGGTTCAGTCACTGCGGGGTGGATAACACTCCACCATCTTTTTATTCCATGTAGATGTGCCCACTATTTATAGAAAGGTCCTGGGCCGCACTGAAGGTCTTTTTCTACACAGTTTTATCAGCTACAACTCATGTGACCATAGCCACAAGTTAGAAAACTACTCCAGCATCATGGAACTTTCTTATGCCATCTTTCATAGCCTTATAGCCACATTCACTCTGTCCCTCTCACCAATGCACAACCTCTGACCATCACCAATGTATTTCTGTATCTTTATATTTTGTCACTTAAGAAATATTACATAAATGGAATGCTACCTTATGCAGCCTTTTGAGGTTGCCTTTTTTTTTTGCTTAGTATTAGCTCTCTAGAAATTCACTCACATTGTGTATATCAGTATTTTTTTAAACTACTAGATAACAATGTATAACATGAATGAACCTCTTCGTGTCACCATCCTGTCATTGAAGTATATTTTGGGTTCTTTCAGCTCTTGGCTATTATGAATTGAGGGACTATGAACATAGGTGTACAACTTTTAAGTTTTCAGTTTCCCAAGAGTGTAATTATAGGATCATATAATGAAAGCACTTTCACAAGAAAACTTTCAGATAGTTTCCTGTTTCCATCATGAGTAAATAAGCGAACTAGTTTCTCTGCTAGCATTTCAGGTCAGCATTGGGTTTTATTTAATCATTCTGATCAATGTGGTTTTCATTTGCATCTCCTTGATGGTTAAGATGTAGGTCTTTCCATGTGTCTGTTTGCCGTCTGTATATCCTTTGCTAAAATGGCTGTTCCCGTGTCTGGCTCATGCTCTGAAGAGACTGCCTATTTGTTTTTCATTATTGAAATTTAAGAGCACTTGATAACTTTGCACGGACGCTTGATGACACATGATGGCTTGACCTATGATCTTTTTACTTTACAATGATATGCAGGTGATACACATGCAGCAGAAATTGTGCTTTAAATTCAGAATTTTAATCTGTTCCAGCTAGAACTATGCAGGGAGAGACTCTTTCAAGACTGGGCAGCGGCGGTGAGGCTCGGCTGTCAGCCATGAGATCACAAAGGCAAATAACCGGTTCTCTACCTCGTTGCCAAGCAGTGGTGCTTGCAGGTTAGGTATGTTAAGTGCATTTTGTACTTAGCAATATTTACCATTCACAATGGAGTTATCAGAATATCACCCCAGTGTAAGTTGAGGAGCATCTACAGGCGGAGGTCTTTTGTCAGAAACACGGCAGCGTATTTTCTCCCATTCCTATCCACTTTTTAGGAATCAGATTTTGTTTTTGATCAAATTGTACATAATTAAGTTGGCAAATAGTTGTGTAAGACTTGTGATCTGCAGCAATACTGGCTCCTTTCTCCTCCAGCTCCCCTTCACTGGAATCATCATCTTTAATCCTTTTAGTTAATTCTTTTGGTATTTGCCACTTCTCTAAATATCATGTATTTTATTTCCCCAATTGTTGGCATTGTCCACTAGTTTTCCATGATGAGAAATGAACATTTGGCTTTTTATCCTTGCGCATCCCACATATGCATTCTCATTTCTACCCTAATTCCTCCCAAATAAATCCACAATTTCATCTCCATAATTCACAATGCCAGAAATCTTTCACTAGTGATCCAACTGGAATTCATCTGAAAGCTCTTCCTAATCTTCAGTTACATCACTTAGAGTAAGAATTCATGGACTGTACTGCAGAAATACAGATTTTTACATTTTTATTTACTTTCATTTTATTTGAAAGGCAGAGACAGAAAGAAGTAGACAAAGAGAGGAGACAGAGAGTCCCTGTCTGCTGGCTCATTTCCCGAATGGTCCCACTTACAGTATAGGCTGGGCCAGGCTAAACCCGGATCCCACTCCACATCACTAAACTGCCTCCCCGGCACAGCATAAACAGGAAGCGAAGGGCAGGGCAGGGCCTGGAACCTGGAGCTCTGCTGTGGGAGGCAGGTGTCTGAAGCAGTAACCTAACTGCTGAGCCAAAAGCCTGCTCCAGATAAGCACTGTATTTCTTTTTCTTTCTTTTTTGTTTTAAGATTTATTTCATTTTCATTGCAAAATTAGATATACAGCAAGGAGGAAAGACAGAGAGGAAGAGCTTCCATCCATTGATTCACTCCGCAAATGGCCACAACAGCCAGAGCTGAGTTGATCCGAAGTCAAGAGCCAGGAGCATCTTTCGGATCTCCTACATGTGGGTGCAGGGTCTCAAGGCTTTGGGCCGTCCTGCTTTCCCAGGACACAAACAGGGAGCTGGATGTGAAAGTGCCATATTTCTTAAAGACATTTAAATTCTAAACCAGGTTTGACTCAGGGGTTTCAAATGTGCACTTGTGGATCTGAACAGTTATAATGCGATTTGATAAATATTCAGCATTTACATTATAATAGCTATGTAAATGATTTCTATTCATAGGCAAGCCATATTATATATTAAAATTCCTATTAATGTCAAAAACAGGCAGAATTACAATAATAGATTAGCACATTTAAACTAAATTGGGGTAGCATTAGTTCATCTAGTAGCTGCATTTAATGGTTTTTCTCTGTTACCTGGCAGAAGTTTACATCGAGCATGATTTCCTTGGGTTGTTCCAGACAGAACCTTCTCAATGATATTTTCCCATTACAGTCTACTTAAAATGATAGCTTCCCAACCCTGCCATCTTTCTGTTACCTTGTTATGCTTTCCCACCTATTAATGCAGAAATGTTGAATTTGTCAATATCCTCCATTAGAATGTAAGTTTCCTGAGAAGGCAGAATTGCTTCTCCATTCTCTGCACTAACACAGCTTTTACTGACAACAATTCCTAATCCATAAAGGAAATTGGACAGAATATTCAATAGTTATTTGGTCTATAAACAGATTTTTCTGCTGGCCTGTATGAGCTGGCTGTCATGTTCCCATGTGCATCTGGGCATGCTGTCCACTGCACAGGTACCAGCAACGGAGGAGACCCAGTCCCAATACATGCACTCCAAGGTTGGACCACGTATTTTGTGATTCGCTATGGCTAGAGTTTGAGTCCAGTGGTCCATGTGGGGAGTGCCCCAAGAAACCTCACCTGGGTAATCCCAGACATGACTCATGTGTGACAGCTAGTGCATGAGCCAATTTAGTCCAATTCCTTCATCGCCTGTGCACCCACTGTTGAATACAGTTGCCTGATCATTTTCACTCCCAACCCTGCCTCCCACACAAATCAATATGTGCTGTGGGCTGGCCCAACCCAGCCTGCCACAAACCTAACCCTTACACACACAAGTGGGAACTTACAGCCTAGATGGGACGACCTCAAATAACCCCAACCAGACCCATCCCCAGCTCCAGTGCCTGTATGTGCCAGAGTGTGCAGTAGGCTAGTCCAACCCCTCCCACATTCTATCTGGGTCTCAGATGTATTAGAGTGGGAGCAGCTGAGGGTATGTTTGAGAAGGAAGGAATGACTACTGGGTCTTACAAGGACTCAGCCATTGCACTTGCAAATAGGTGAGGTAGCTGAGATAGAGTGGTTTAAAGGGGGAAAACTGGCTTCTGTTACCAACCACTGGCAAGACCGTCTGCACACTTGAGCCCACCCTATTATAGACATTGTGGTATTCTGACATCCACATGACCCTATCCCAAAAAGTAACTTAAAAAGCGCGCCTGCCTCCTGCCACATACACCCACTGTTTGAGTGGACTGAACCCTTACTTCCCTACATAATGTGGTCTTATCTATAATGAAAAGCATTTTCTGCCATAATCAGTCTTCTCTGGATCTTCTTTGGACTCAAAAGTCCTAAATCTAATTGTGGGAAGAAGGCAGAGTTTGGGATAGCAGTTAAAATCTTGAGACGTCTCTGGTGCATATTGTTAGAATACCTGCATTCTACTCTTGGCTCCATGCCCGATTCTAGCTTCCTGCTGCCATGCACTAGAAGCCAGCAGGTTACAGCACAAGTGCGTGGATCTCTGCTACCAATAGGAGACACCTGGATGGTGTTTGGAAAATGACCCAGTTGATGGAAAATCTCACTCTGTCTTTCCTTTTCTCAGCCTTTGATTCACCTCCAAACCTTGTCCAACGCATTTCTCACATTTTGTTGTACCTATGTTCTATCCTTTATAAGACCGAAGTTGTATACATGGCCTGAGTTCTGTGACATTCTAGTGTCAATGAATTCAAACTCAGAAACTGTAAAAGAGCTTTATTTAGGGGTCTTAGGAATTGCAATTTGGGAGGCTTAAATTCAGGTAACCCTGAATCTTTTTTTTAGGAGAGCTGGAAAGTGGGAGTTTGTAAGATCTATTGAATTCTGAGAAGGAACAGGGGCAACAAGAAAAGAATGTAAGAATAGAATGGAAATATCCGTAAATGGGAGCTTCTTGTTATGCATGTTGGGCATTAAATAATCATTTGGTTGCTGCAGTGTGGTCCAGATGTCTATAGTTAGAGGAGTGTAAGCAGCCAAAACTTATATTGTAGGTAGCCCTTAAAATCACGCCTGAGTGCTGCTTCCTAATGGCCTGTTTCAAAAGCTCTTTCAGTGTTGCTAGCACAATTTTCCTCTCATTGTCATGATAATTTTCACACACAAGGAAGGGTTGTGGGAACCTCCAAATTTGTACTCAATTTAGAAAGTACTAGTAGCCTAAGGATCCCATTTGGAGCTAACATTTGAAGTAAGAACAGTCTGGTTGGGGAAACTTACCCTTTAATTTGCAGAATTTGAAGCTAAAAATCATCAGTGAATCCTCATCAGAGGCCCAACTCCAGAGAATGCAAAGGGAAATAAATGCAAAATAAGAAAGTGGCTATTAATAGTTTTTAATAGTTAAGATGAATGTAAAAGAGAATGCTAGAAGGTATATTAACCCTGAACCAAGCTCAGATATTTACATCTGACCTATGCCCACTAGCTTCAAGCCAACCCCAAAAGGGAAAATCATGCAGCAGCAACAGAAAGTACCTCTATGACTTGTGGTCATCGAAAAAGATATTCTGTGTGGAGAGAGGACAGAAACAAGGAACTATAGCCATCAGTTGGGATAGTGTGAAGGAGGTGTCGTCTTCTGTGGATTGTTATTATCTGTCCAGGAAAAATTTTTATTAAAATGGACTGTGAGTGTGTGATGTCCCTGTGGTTTCCATGTTGATAGAAGATTCACAGCAATCACAGATGACTACACATGATCCAGACACAGGTTATTCCAGGAGGAATAGTCCGCCTGGCTGCCTGGATAAAAGCTTATGCCACTGTGCAAAGTGTGCTAACCAAAAGGCAGCCTTCCTAATTCCTTGTATACACTCTGGGTAACACCTGAAGAAAGCAGTTGTGTGGGCTTTCATACAAACTATCATACAAAGGTCAGAATATTCATGTATCTGTTACCCAAGTCACGGTAAATGCTTTGATCAAGGGAGTCTTTTCTCATTGCCCTCCCTCCCCCCCAACCCCCATCATGTGACTCTACTACTGTAGAATTCAAAAACACACAGAGAAGTCTTACTGGATTTGTGGTCTTATTATGGCCTTAGCAGCTGGTTCAGGGTCACGAGCTTGGAAACCATGCCTTCTCCACCCATGTCATCCTTTCCGCCCACATGTAAATTAAATGACACTCACCTATCATTACCTGGAATGTGAGAGGAGGCAGGATTGCTTTGCTGCATAATCACTCCTCTCGCAAGCCCCCATAGAGGCCAACGGTAGGAAGGGGCTCTCTCTTGATTGCATGCTTCCTTCACTCCTGCACTGTGACTCTTGCCTCCCCAGAATCTGCTTGCTCTCTGTCTTCCTATGGACAGACTTTGAGGACAGGTTGCCTTTAAGCATGCTAAGATGCTTCGTTTTTCTAATTTGTGCAGGAGGGGTGAGGCCTAGTAGGGATGGAATGTGGACAGAGAAGCCAGGAAAAGCTGTTTGCGTCTTTGTAAGATGTTCACTGCATGTCTTTGGATAATATATATTGCTGCAGAAGCTGAGACATGGGTTTTCAGTTTAACAGCCAGATTTCATAATGACCATTTTTTCTTCTCAGGGTTTTAATTTAGACTGGATTGCCACAGTGAGTTTTCAATTGCTAATTTCTAGTGAGCAATGCCATTGCCAAGCTTGGTTAATAAAGATGCCTTAATACATCCTAGCCTAGTCTGTGATCACTCTCGCACTCTGCAACAGGCTCTGGCTTTCTCGTGTGAGACTTACAGATACCAAGGACATTAATTAACAACAAAGTGAGGAACAACGGATGCAAAACTTAAAGCATGCATTTTAGGAGGGTGGAACTCTTTGGATGGTTATTCAGCAACAAGACTGATAACATGACATGGATGGAGTTGAAACGAAGGTCTCAATGCGGCAGCATAGATGGCTGAGTAGACTAATGGGAACTCCTGCTTCTCCTTCAGTGTCAAAAATCTCTCAGAGTCTGCTGTGTTTATCTCAATTCAGAGAAATTTTTAAACTCAAAAAAGCAGAGTATGACAAGCTCGTTCTACAGTTGCCTGAATCAATAGATCAGTCAATGAAAGCATTGGCCAGATTCCCTAGAATCAAACATGCTCTAAGGACCAAAAACCTAGATGCAAGCAAGTAAAATGCTCAGGGTGGAGAGAAGTTTCTGGGACACCCTGACACTGTAATAACCAAAGTCTCTTTGTGAAGTCCTAGTAGGGGCCACCGAGACTGAGGCAAACAGAAACCAGAGTTAACAGGATTCAGGTGAATATTTAGACAAAAACAGATACATACTGAAGAAAGCTAATGTAAGTGACTCACTATTTCACCTGACTATATTGTGGTGAAAGACTGGAAGATAACTCCAGTACCTGGCATAGTAGAATGGTAGGCACTGTAAATCTGTCCTTTAATGTAATCTATGGATATGCTAAATAAGCATGAATAACCTACACCATAGGAAATAGTCTGATATGGATCAATTCTTGAGACGGTAGTCCATCCGGAGGATTTCTTTCCAGCATCAGAAAGTGACTGAACCAAGCAGCAGACATCCCAGTGTGTCCCACTTGACCATCAGCTGGATTGGTAACAAGAATGAGTTTGGGGAGCTGCAGCAATGCAAAGTAGGGCAGAATAGAATGTTCCTCTGGCATCCTCTAAATGCCAATAAAATGCTCATAAAAACTTCTGCCTGTCAATAAGAGAGAGCAGCTTGATGGGACAGAATTCTTGGAAGGGAAGTCTTAACCAAAGCTGGCAAAGTGGGTTGATGTCAGTCATCCTGGGATGCTGCAAATGGGTCCTGACAGGCACAGGCACTCTGGATAACACTCCGTATTCTCAGGAACAGACACAAATGCTCAGAGCGGATGGGCATGTAGCCCTGTTGCAGTGGTTGATGCTGAGTCCCGGCTTCATGCTCCTGTCCATGAGCAGGTGTTGGATGATGTCGCTGCCAGCAGCATGGGTAACAGGGAGGGTGCTCTCAGCTCTTGGCCTTGGCTGATGCAGTCCTTCTTTCTTCTCTGCTATTCTTCTTTCAAGCCAATCTTTAAACAAAAAAGGACCCAAAGAGATGGTACTGCATTGTTTTCAAATACCTAAAGCTATTTCTTCAAACAAGGAAATTCACTCTATAGCCCATAATATCTAAAACTGGGCAGTGACTCATCCTCCTTGAGGAATAGTGTGAAAGAAAATTGGAAATGCAGCTGAAATATTGATTGTCAAAAATGGGAGAAGATATGGACATGTCCTACACATGCCCTCCTGAGTGCGGACCAAGTGGCCTGATGCATTGGACAGCCATGGGCTTTTGGGCAGATCTGGTGGAGGACTGAGGCAAGAACACTGGTAAAACTATGACATTCTTTCCATGGGGATGGAAGGTGATATGACTATACTTTTTCTTTCCTTTTCACATCCTATGTGATGCAGTGATTCCAAGACCAAGTCTGCGACTGCATCTGCTAAAAACAGGGATGATTTCTAAGAAAGTGCAACTCTGCTTTTTCCATCGTTATGTTGGATGCCTAATGGAGTGATCTATGACCTTAGCTCATGTCTTAGTCCATTTTCTGCTGCAATAACCAACTGCTTCAGAATGGGTAATTTATGAAGAAAATAAATCTATTAATCCTATTTCTGCATCCTGAAAAGCTCCCATATCAAGGGCCTTCTTGCTGCAGCATCAGCACACGATGTCTGTGTTAATGTGTTTGTGCGAAAGTGAAAACCCGTGCACGCGTGCTTACATTTACAATGTGCCCATTCCAGTGGTAACAGCATTGTCACCGATTCATGAAGGAACCAACACAGCTTTTAAAGGCCTCACTTCCCAATAGCTTCAGAGTGAAAATAAATCTCAAGAGTTTTTAGAAGACATGTAAAGCACAACATCCCATCTGTCAAAACTGATTACAGTCACATTTCTTTAGATAGAAATAGCCTACTAATTCTGTATTTATGTAATTCTGTTCTATATGGGATGGCCTAAAGGAGAGGTACTTGCTGGACTAGCATAATTGTTGGGATGGAGGGCTCAACTGTGTCCCCTCTACTGCTCTGCGCCCATCTATGAAAATCTGTCCTATACACCTCTTAAAATTATAATTGTAAAGTGTTTTAGTGAGTTCCGTAAATCATTCTAGCATATCATACAACCTGAGGAGTGGTCACAGGAACCTCCAGATGTGCGAGTCAGACCAGCGTGCAGGTAGCCCGACGATTTCCAAGTGGACTGATGCTACTTGCAGGTGGCGTGTGCAGAAAGGAGCTTATTATTGGACTTGTCAGATCTGATGGTAACTCCAAGGAATGTCAAAGCTGAATTGTATACTGTCAAAATGGTTAAAACACAAACATATTTCATTGTTTGCTGCTCTTTTATTGTGGTGGAATATACATGACAAAATTGAACTCATTTGTCATTTGTTATTCAAAATTATACATGTGCATATATTTTGATACATAGTTAACTAAACATATTTATGGTGCAAAATGGAACATTTCAATTCTTGTTTATAATCTATAATGATTAGTGTATGTCTGCCATCTCAGACATACATTTATTTCTTTGTGCTGGGAACATTCCAAATTCCACTAGCTATGTTGAAATAATTAATGCCTGCTATCCATTCCTATCTTCATGTCCCACGGAACACTGAAGTTATTTCCTCTATCCAATTGCACCTCTATATCTATTAATTGCCCTCTCTCCATCTCTCTTTCCATCACATATTTTCCAGGCTCTGGTAACCACTACTCTATTATGTATTTCTTTGAGATAACGTTATCTTCTCTAAACAAGAGTGAATATGCAGCACTTGTCTTCCTGTGCCTGACTTATATCACTTCAATAATGTCCCTTTTCCATTCATGCATCCACAAATGACGGAATCTCACTGTTCTTTATGGCTACAGAATGTTCTGCCGTGTATATACACCACATTTTCTTTATTCTGTTGATGACACTTAGATTCCAGATAATAGCTATTATAAGTACAACAAAATACGTATGAAAATTGATGTCTTATTGACATACTGATTTCACTTTCTTTGGATATACACCCAGTGGCCAGACGGCTGGGTCACAGGGAAGTTCAAAACTCATATCCTAATGGCCAGTAGATCAAGAACTCCACAAGTGGCACATCACGCGCCATTTTGCACAGTATGGCAAAGGCTTTGAGACTACAGGGACAACAATGAGCTGCACACGTGCTGAGCTGGGAGCAAACTTACTGAGCTCAATGCATTGTACTGGTCACTACATGCTGGAGGGCGTGGCACAAGTGAGTGTAAACAAAGAACTGTGTACCAACCACAATAAATAAAATCAAATTGTAGATCTGTGGGTAACATAGCTTAGAAACCTGCCCTAAAGAGAAGAACCTGCTAACCAGAAGTACAATGACCAAGAGCAAAAGAAGAGACAGAGGCACAATGAATATTATTGAAGACTCTCCTGCAAAAGAACAAAAGCCTTTGCTAACCTCAGAGTTAACCAAGGAACACATTGAGAAAATGGAGGATAGAAAACTCATTATAAAGCTTCTGATCAACAATGAGAAGCACATATAGGAGGAGTTCAAGGAATTTAAGGAGTATGTCACACAGGAAATAGCAACGCTGAAACAAAATTAAGCCAAATTATTGGGAATGAAGTATGCAACAGAGCAAACTAAAAATTCAGTGGAAAGTCTCAGTAATCAAATGAATGAGGCAGAAGAAGGAATCTCAGAATTGGAAGACATTTCCTGTCACCAGGGGGAAATAATCAAAAAGCTGGAAGCAGAGCTAGGTCAAGCTAAAGAAAGTATTCAAGAAATAAGATACATTATTAAAAGGCCAAATATAAGGGTTATAGGAGTCACAGAAGGTGCAGAAAGAGAGGCTGGGATTAAAGGTGTATTCAATGAAATAATAATGGCAAATTTTCCTAATCTAGAGAAAGAATTGGGGAACAACATCCAGGGGGGTCATAGAACTCCCAACAGGGTTGATCAAAAGCAATCTTCACCACAACACATGATAATCAAGCTCTCTTCAATAGAACGTAAGGAAAAGATCCTTAAATCTGCATGTGAAAAAAGCCAATTGGCATATAGAGGAATGGCAATTCACAGCTGACCTCTCATAGGAAACTCTTCAGGCCAGAAGGGAATGGAGTGGCATATTCCAGATTCTAAAAGGGAAAAAATGTCAGCCCAGGATAATGTACCCAGCAAAACTTTCCTTTGTCTTTGAAAATGAAATAAAATTCTTCCGCAGTAAAGAAAAGCTTAAAGGCTTTGCCACTTCCAGATCTGGCGTACAAATGATATTTAAAAATGTTCTTTTGACAGAGAAAAGGAATAGCGCCCACCAAAACCAAAGGCAAATGTGAGGAACATCTCAGTAAAATAACAACAGAAGACTAATCAATGAACAACCCAATGCTAAAATGACAGGAACAAATTACCACCTATTTTTATAACCCTGAATGTAAATGGGTTAAACTCACCAGTCAAATGTCACAGACTAGCAGACTGGATTTGGAAAACAAAAGCCATCTATTTGTTGCCTATGAGAGATACATCTTACCAGCAAAGATCAAAAGAAACTATATCATGGATTTTGATGGTTTTGTTTTTAGTTTCATTTCTTCAAAACATTTTTTTTCTCATATTGAGTTCTTCAGTGATTCATAGATCACACAGTGGTATCATTTTCTTCAAAAAGGTTCTTGATTTTCATTTCTTCAGCAACACATTAGTCATTCAGTAGCATGTATTTAACTTCATGGTGTTGTAGATTTCTTTTTCTTCCTGTTGCTGATTTTGAGCGTTTTCATTTAAGGGGATATATAGTAACTGTGTAACGGAGACTATCATATTCGGATGTGAGGATAGAATGTAGGATGCATCTCTGCTTCCAGATCAGAGATGAACTCCCAATGAAACTGTTGACTATATTTTGATGATGGTATTTGGATTCTGCCATTGTCTATGCCCGCAATGGTAGACTTATGACTAATTATGAAGAATGATACTATTGTAATAATATAGGGGAAATTCGGTGGGAGAAGGGGTCAGAGAAATCCCAGGGCCTATTGAACTGTATCAAAAAATGATAATAATAATTTAAAAGTGAAATAAAAGAAATGAAAAAAACTGGATACAAACACTATACAAGTGTATTATGTGTATGTTTTGCTAATTATTAGACTAGAAAAATATAAATGGTGAAATTACATAAATTATTGTTTAATCTTTATTAATGTTCTTTCAGTATTAAATATACAACAAGTACTTATACTTATTTACAGATTATAACTTTAGATTATGACTTTAGCAACAAAAATATGTTATCTTTGGTTAACCAGAACAAATTTTAAAAGGCAAAAATGTCGAAGTCTTCATGGCAGTTAGTGCTTCAGACCCATAGTCTTGCTGGCCTGGGATGATCGCTCTCGCTCTTTTGTAATTTCTAGCTCAATTTTGGCTTTGATTTTGTCCCAATCTATTAGGAGCTGTAACAGAAGAATGTAACATGGTTACATATTACAAGATATTGGTTTCTTTTTTTTTTTTTTTTTTTAAAGATTTATTTTTATTATTTTTTTATTGGAAAGGCGGATATACAGAGAGGAGAGACAGAGAGGAAGATCTTCCGTCCGATGATTCACTCCCCAAGTGAGCGCAACGGGCCGATACTATGCCGATCCGAAGCCAGGAGCCTCTTCTGGGTCTCCCACGTGGGCGCAGGTTCCCAAAGCTTTGGGCCGTCCTCAACTGCTTTCCCAGGCCACAGGCAGGGAGCTGGAAGGGAAGCGGGGCTGCCGGGATTAGAACCGGCGCCCATATGGGATCCCGGGCGTGCAAGGCGAGGACCTTTAACCACTTGCGCCACCGCGCCGGGCCCAAGATATTGGTTTCTAATCTAGAGTAACCAAGAGTAGATAAATAAAACCTATGACTTCCAAAACATTAGTGAAAATGTGGACATCATAAAAAGTTAGCAAGGAGAGGGGGTGGGTGTTTGGCATTGCAGCTCTGGCTTTCGGTACCACAGTCAAGCCACTACTTGGAAGGCCCCAACCCCAGCTCTGAGTGTCTGAGTGTGAGTGACAGCTCCATTTCAAATTCCTGCTTCCTGCTCATGCTCATCCTGGGAGGCAGCAGGTGATGGCTCAAGTACTCTCATCCCTGACACCCATCTGGGAGACCTGGACCCAGTTCCAGGCTTTCACTTTATCTAACCCAGCCATGGCTACTGTGGGCACTTGGCAACTGTGGAAGATTTTTTTTTTTTCTCTCTCCCTCTCTCTCTGTTTACTTTCAAATACATGAAAGTACATTTTTTTAAAAAAGAAAGAATACTAAAAACCATGAAACATGTTTCATGATATGAACAAAAAGAATTATTAATCATATTAACAAGTAGCGAGATAGGCCTTAAGACTCCAAAGACCAAAATCTTGGAGCCAGCATTGTTTTACAGCAAGTAAAGCTGCTGCCTGCAATGCCAGTGTTCCAACCCCTTTGTTCCACTTCCGATGCAGTTCCCTGCTAATGCACCTGGAAAGCCGTGCAAGATGCTCTAAGTATTTGGGTCCCTGCCACCCACAAGGGAGACACAGAGGAAGCTCCCACCTGCCAGCTCTGGCCCAGTCCAGCCTAGCCATTGTGGCCATCTGGGAGTGAACACTCTTTCTCTCTCTGTAACTCTGCCTTTCAAATGAATACATATATCTTTTTTTTTTTTTAAGATAAAAATCCAGTTGCAGTTGTTTACAAAAGGCTCAGTCGAGTAGTCCCATGGAGTCTTAGGATTCTGAACAAATGCTCAGGCACAATGTGAGAGAGAAGACAGACTGCTCCAAAACAACGGGAAAAAAAGGCGGCCCTGTCCACCAAGCCATGCTTAAAATAGACCAGGTCTTCATGTCATATGTCCACTATTCCTGAGACAAGCAATAATGCGGAAAGATACGGAAGTATTAATTTTCCCTGAGCATATTTTGCAAAAGTGCATTTTTGCAATAACCCTTTAAAGTGACCTAAACACACCATAGTGATTACAACAATACTGAAGGGGCTAGCACTGTGATTAAGCCACCAGCTATGATGCCAGAATCCCATATTGGAGTGCTGGTTTCAGTAGCTCCCTGTTAATATGCGCAGGAAAGCAGTGGAAGACAACCCAAACACTTGGGAGATGCAGGGATGGAGTTCCAGCCTCCTGGGTCAGCCTGGCCCAGCTCCAGCCATTACACCCCTTTGGGAAATGAACCAATGGACACAAGATCTGTTGGTCTCTGTCTCTCTGCTGTTTGAATAAATATTTTTTAAAAGATTTATTTCTTTTTATTAGAAAGGAAGATTTACAGAGAGGAGGAGAAACAGAAAGAAATCTTCTACCTGCTGATTCATTCTCCAAATGGCTGCAGCAGCCAGACATGAGCTAATACTAACCCAGGAGACAAGAGCCTCCTCTGGGTGCCTCATGCAGGTACAGGGACCCAAGGCTTTGGGGCATCCTCCACTGGCTTCTCCCGGGCCACAAGCAGGGAACTGGATAGGAAGTGGAGAAGCCGGGACATGAACCAGCACCAATATGGGATGCTGATGCTTGCAGAGAGAAGACCAGCCAGTTGAGCCTTTCCAGCCCCAATAAAATAAATCTTGAGAAAACAAATAATGGGGGATGGCACAGTGGTATAGCAGTCTAAGCCTGTCTGTGACACTGGCATTTCATGTAGGTGCTGGTTCAAGTCTAGTTGCTTCATTTCCAAACTAGCTCTCTGCTTAAGACCTAGGAAAGTAGCAGAGGCTGGCCCAAGGCCTTGGGTCCCTGCACTCACATGGGAGATGCGTAGAAAGCTCCTGGCTTCAGACCAGCCTAGCTCTGGCTGTTGGAGTCATTTGGGGAATGAACCAATGGATGGAAGTTCTCTTTCTCTCTCTTTACTTCTGTATAACTCTGCCTTTCCAATAAAAATAACAAATATTTTTTAAAAAGACAATGATGAATATGTACCAGAGGGAGACACATAAAAGAATAACTGAAAATTACTAAATATTTGTATTTGCTTCTCTTCTGTATGATACAGCCTGTGTACCCTGGTCCCGCTCTACGTAGTAAGCCATGAGATTTGAGGTTAGGAATGGAATTTGCCTTAAGTTCCATGAGTAATTTCATTAGGCACACTCAACAAAGTTTGAAGATCACTAATTTAGAACACGTGTGTCCCCTTTCAGAGGCAAGACTGTGGACAATTCAGATCCTGGATTAAACCAACTCTTATTTACAAAGATTTACACATAAAGCCCTGTGACTGACTCAAATATCAAAAGGTTTTCACTTCCATGCATGGGAGTTGAATGGAATATGTGAGTAGTAAATCTGATTGAAGTGTTACAGAAGAATTTCTTTTACTCTAGAAGATAAATGTCTGTCCTAGGATGCAAGTAACAGTGCATGGAGAAACACAGCAAATGTTAAGTTATGTGAAGAACTCATTTTTTTCAATCAGGTCAAAACTTGGCATTTTTAAATGACAAAACACTCACTTCCATGTCAGACAAAACACTTATGAAGACGAACACAGAACTTGATGATATCTTGGCCTTCTTCCTGATTTAAATTGATTTACATATATTTCTCAAATCAATCACAATAAAACCATATCCTGATGGTAAACTGAACAACTGCCACTCCGATGTCTGACAAGTAAAGGATGTATTTACTTGTAATAACACAAACAAGAGTATCGGTTGGTAGCCATCCTAATGAAAATAAATGTTATGCTTTCATCTTGGCATTTATTAAATTTTAAAAGTGTTCTTCAAATAATCTAGATTTTGCTTCAGAATGATTTTAATAGTATTAGGTAAGATGTTCTCTGATAACTGTCAGGTAACTTCTACATTAAAGCCTATGCTTTTCTATTGCAGGGACTTGGCCCGTCTTATTCTAATCCCCAGTCAATTCTTATTATAGGAGTAATTTTTTAAAAAGATTTTATTTATTCTTCTTGGAAAGTCAGATTTATAGAGAGAAGGAGAGATGGAGAGGAAGATCTTCCACCCGTTGGTTTACTCCCCAAGTAGCTGCAATGACCGGAGCTGAGCCAATCTGAAACCAGGATCCAGGAGCCTCTGCTGGGTCTCCCATGCAGGTGCAGGGTCCCAAGACCATGGGCCATCTTCTACTGCTTTCCCAGGCCACAAGCCAGGAGCTGGAAGGGAAGTGGAGCAGCTGGGACATGAACCAGTGCCCATATAGGATCCCAGTGCATGTAAGGTGAGGACTTTGGCCATTAAGCTACCAGACTAGGCTCACAACTAGGAACAATTTTAAAGTTATACGAAAAGGCTCCACAGCCTTTACCCCATCTCTCTATTTTCAGCTGAAAATCAGCTTCCTATTTCACAAAAAAATGTATAGATGTTCCTTGACTGAGGATGAAATTATGTCCCAATAAATCCATTATAAGTTGAAAATATTCTAAGTAAAAAACTAATTTCTCATACAACTAGCCTACCAAACAGAACAGCTTAGAAACATGATATAAAGGTGTGCAGGAAAATGGAATTACAAGAAAAGTTATTTTGGTACAAAGAATGTTGAAATCATGCATAGGAGTACACCGTTGGTCGTATGCCCTCATGATCAAGAGGTTGATCTGAAGTTGCAGTTCACTGCCAAGACCCAATACCATGAGACTATTGTCCTATCTGCTATTTTCCCAGAAAAACATCAAAATTGAAAGCACAGTTTCTACTGAGTGTGTATTACTTTCAAATAAACATCAAGATAAAAAAAAATTGTAACTTGAAACCATCCTAAGTCTGCGAAGGCCATTAAGTGTGAATTCCCTTCATTTTTCTTCTTTGCACTCACAGACTTGCTTATGTATACAATCTCTTTCCCTTCTGTCTCAACTCAACTTCTTCACATGTGTCCCTGAATCATCTTCACGGCTCATTTATGACACCCATCTTCAAATATTTCTCATTCAATCTCCTTCTCCTCACTGGTCCATTGGCCTTGCCTTTGTCTCATCTCCTTGAAAGCTAGGACTCTTCACTCTTCACAGTGCACACTACCATTTAAAGGGGTTGGGGTTGTAGTGTAGAAGATTAAGCTCCCGCCTGGAATGCCAGCATCTGTTCTGGTTGCTGAGCTCCCACTGCAGAACCCGGCTGACATACTTGGGAGGGCAGTGGGAATTGGCCCAGGTGCTCAGGTTCTTGCCACCAGGTCGGAGACCTGGGTGGAGCTTCCATGCTCCTGATTTTAGCCCGGCCCAAGCCTAGCCACGGCAGGCATTTGGGAAGTGACTCAGAGGGCGAAACATTTCTCCCTCTTTCCTCCCCAGTCCCATGTGAGTGTATCTCTCTCTCTCTTGAACTCCACTGTTTATATAATTAAATTTTTTTAAAGAGAACTTTTAATTAAAGCCACCATCAGCTATTTTCAACCTTTATCCTAAATATCATTCTATATGGTTCAATTATTTATCCAACAACTATTTCATGCTTAATATGTGTAAGGATTATCCCAGGTACAAGGATTCAGCAGAAACCAAAAGAAAACTCCTTGACTTTATGGAGAGACCATAACAAAGATAATAGTAGGAGATGTAAATAATAAACAAAATAAAAGAAAATGTGCTGTCTTCAAAGTGGTAAGGTTTTGAAGATGGGTAAGGGAGACAGTGAGAACCAGGATGAGACCGAGAGCTGCACTGCTCTCCGTCAGCTTGGCGGGACTTCTCATACCCCGTTCATAGTGACCGCAGAAGTGAGCGTCTGAAAAGCCTACAGTAAGACAGCAGATGAGGAGCAAAGCATGTGTACTCCCAGAGAGGGGCATGTGGGGATGCTAGCTGTCTGCTGATGCGCACACCTGGGGAGCAGCAGGTAAGAGCTCAGCCAGTTGGGCGCTTCTACCCATATCAAAGACCCAAAGTGAGCCCTGGGGTCCTGGCTTTGGCCTGGCCCACCCTGCTGCTGTGGCACTTTGGGGTAGCAGCCTGGCCTACCCCGCTGCTATGCCCATGACTGGGTTAAAGACCTACATGTAACCCTAAGATCAGTAAGATCTGCACTTATCAAAATAAGTCTATGCCATAACAAGATAAAAAAATCTTCTAGAGATTATGATATGAACCATTCTTCTTAGTACTATTAACAATAAACGTTCATATATTTACAAGGTATATGCAAGACAGGGTATAACACTTACACCTTCTGCATACTGCAAATATCGTTTATTTGTTTCCTGTTTACCAAATGTCGTCAAAAACTTCTGACGGTATGCGAGAACTGTGTCAACATGTGTTTTGTATTTTATGGCCAATTCCAGTGCCCTATGAGAAAAAAAAAAAACAAAAAACGATTATCAGCATTTCTTTTGTCAGACTCCATAGAAGTTTTAGAGTTGGGACTAGGACAAATCATTGTTCTTTCTGCTTACCTGTCAACATGGAATGTCAGTTTCTACCTTGTCCAGCTTGCAAATTCCAATTACTTCAAGCGCCAGATTAAACATGACCCCTTTTCCTTATCTAACTTCTCTTGCAGAAACAAATGTCCATTACTTTATCATTGCTTCCTACCATTCATACAAACTTTTGCAACAGCACCTCTTACAGTATAATGATTATTTACGAACGTGTTCCTTATTCACTGAGGGAAGATATGAATTTCGTTTCTCTTTGGTGACTAATTCAGAGTGCATATGTTATAAATATTGTGAATTTCTTTTAATCAATATAAAATTCAAGTGAATGAACTTCCCCACATTGTGACTCAATTATTTTGACCATTTTACAAATCTATAATGAATGTTTATAAAATTAAAAACTGGGATCCTTATGCTACTGTTAGAGTGAATTTTAAAAATTATGAAAATACATGGCTGTAAGCTCTCACAAAGTTTTTTTCCTAAGCTCTCACTTAGAAAAAGTTGTCACTTACATTTTATAGTCATCATGTTTGTCCCTAAATTATTTATAAAGTTATGTTTACACAGAAGATGAGAACTAACTGGATTACTGAAAAAGAGTGTACACCACCAAAGATACAAAATCTATACATTAATGAGTATTACAGAGAACTCAAAGATTAATCCTCAGTCCTAGGTTATTTTGCTGCAGGTTCTGAATAGTGAGTGCCTCAGCTGTTGCAATCCCACGGACAATGTGTATTAGTGGAGTCAGGAACAACTCTGCGAGTGTGACGCTCCTATCTTATTCATGGTCAGCTTGCCTTAAAATATGGGTAACTGTCATCATAAAAATAAAAAATACAATAGTTCTGATGTTTTCTTGCTTTCTAAAATGAAGCGAGCTCTGAATAATCCAATCATGACTTGTCAGAGCATACTGTTATATAAATTTGTTGTTTGAAACAAAACTGATTACTGACTGGGCATTTCCATTTATGAATCTTCAGTAAGAAAATAATTCATTCCTATCATGCATTGGCTTGCCTTTGTAATAAATTAGATGGTCACTTTAAAAGAAATGTAAATATATAGTGCATGCTGATTGACAAATGACAGAATTGAGGTATCAAAGCCATGAAGATAGAGCATGTTAACATAAAAATGGTAATACCAAATTAACCAAACTAATTCATAAAATATGTTGACATATACTATATTGCTACGTCCATGGTCAGTATTTACTACCTATCCAGGACTCATACAAAGTACGCATTCCTTTTTGACTTTAAATCAAAGAACAGGCAGAGAGGAAACACGAAGGTAAGAAAATGCAGAGGACACAAGTGAAAGACAGAAGGCGGCAAAGAGCAGTTCACCGTGGCTCAGGAGGAGGAATCCCGGTTCGTACACCCGAGGCTCTGACGTGGGTGCACCTGAGTGGTGACTGGTGAACAACCACTCTGGCCTCTTAGAAATTCCACTCTCACTTTGTGATTGCATCAAATCGGGATAGGACAGCTCGGCTATCCAAAACCAAGTCTTTTAAAAGTTGCGTACATAAGCATCGACATAGTGAAGTATGTAGAAATAACAGAATATGACACCAATAATGCATGGAGATACCAGATCTTAAGTTCTGTTCATCTTTACTGTCATAATTTTTTCTTCACTTTTTATTACAGCAAAATCTGTATTAATTATTTGGTAAAAACAGCCATGTTTAAAGGTAAACACTGAAATAATTGCGATGTTTTAAATATTTTCTATAAGCACACACTGGGTAAAAACTGTCTCTGCAGCACGTTTCATCAGAACTTAAAATTATATAAGGGTTTTAGGAACAGTATGCTTCTAGTTTTAAAATGGTTATTTGGCAACCAAACAAATGTGACATTATATTCTAGGGCTGGAATAAGTCCATGTATTTTAAAAAGAAGTCAGTTATGTAAAAATGATGCTGTAACTTCAAAATGTGATCTTTTGCATAAGTTGAACAAAGTCAAATCACTTTAAGTGATCTGCTGTTAAAGATTAAACTTATTTTTATTAATGCTTACATAAAGCAATCATACAGTTATCTGCGGCTGTGACCTGCTTCTCTTCACTTCAGATTTTGGGAGCAGACTGCCACAAGTCTCCAAAGCCGAAGTCAGGCAGAACACCGGCTTACCTACACCTCTTCAAACTGACTTGCATGTCACCACCAAAAAAACACGGAAAACAGAAGCAAAACCCAGAACGACAATGCTCTGCAACTAAAGAAATCATATGAGCAAAATAAAATGTTTCCTTTAAGAAACTCAAAGAAATGCAGAAATTCACGGACTTTATTTAAATTCTATCTTTGCTTAATAATAAAATTGGAATATTAAAATTTTATGGCCCTTAATGAATGAATCTGGCTGCTAACACCACAAAAATAGAGATCGCTAGTCACTACAGGAAATAGATGTCCAGACTACAGGAAATCATACAGACTCAATTTTTCCCAATGGAAAAATAGCAAGAAAACACAGAAAAGAAACAGGAGAATTTGAGGTTAAAAGAAAACTTCAGAACATGTCAACCAGTCATAGTATATGGATCTCTCTTGAATCCTGACTCAAATAAACCATAAAAACAACAAAAAAATATGGGGTTCAGTAGAATACACTGACTGTAACTACTGTTAATCTTAAAAACATGATAATAGTATCACAGCCATGTTAAAAATAAACACCTAGGGAGCAGATACTCAGATTAGCAGCAAAGGTGCCCACTTCCTATGTCCTCACATCTTAACCAGAACAGCTGGGTTCCGTTCCAGGCTCCAGCTCCTCACAGAGTAGATGACAGCAGGCAACAGCGATGGCCCAGCCGGCTGAGTTCCAGCCATCTCTGAGTGGGAAACCTGGGTGGAGCTGCAGATCTTGACTGTATTCCTGGCTGTTGATGATCATTTAGGGAGTGAGCCAAATTTTGGAGACATGTACTGAAACATTTATAGACAAAATGATATGATAACTGATCTGTTTTTTTTTTTTAAAGCAGTAGCAGAGGACTTGGGGTAGGGATAAAGAATTACCAGAAATGGGTAATTTACCAGTTGAGTGATAAGTACATGAGAAGGTATTAAACTAATTTCTATCCTTGTCTATGTACTTGATAACTGTCATAATAAATTATGTAAAGAATTCCATCTTTTCTACTTTCCTAATCTATTTTGCTGAATCCTTTAAACAATATTTACTTGTTTGTTTGTTTACTTGAAAGGCAGAGTAGCAGAAAGAGAAGGAGGGAGGCAAGGAGAGACAGAGATAAAGAGAGAGAGAGAGAGACATCTTCCATCTGCTGGATCACTCTCCAAATGGCTGCAGCATCTGAAGCTGAGCCAGGCCAAAGCCAGGAGCCAGGAATTCCATCCAGAGTCTCCCACATGAGTGACAGACTCTCAAATACTTGAGCCATCATCATCCACAGCTATCAAGGACATTAGCAGACAGTTGGATTGCCAAGCCTTACTGTCATTCCAGTATGGAATGTGGGTTTCCAAGCAGTGGCTTAATCCACAGAGCCACAACATCCATGCCTGAGTTCTCTTCTTGACCCAACCCTCTGCATGTTGACGTACAGCAGAGATGTGCCTACTGCCTTCTAGTCCTTAGTCAATCTGCCTGAAGTGAGGGTTGGCTTTCTGTAAATTCAAGCTCTCCTGAACTTGTCACTTGTATGTTCTACTTGCTGGGAAAAGACAATAACATTTGTTAAAATCCAAATTGTGCAACACCTTACACACTATCCTAAATTCCCACCCAAAAACCCCACTGTCGAGTAGTACTTTGGTATATATATATATATGCCAGATGTGGGTTATTCTGTGGTTGAGGCACACAGGTTCAAGCCCCAGCCAGCCTTTCCTGGTGCAAAATACCTAAACAAAACCATAGCTTATAGGAAGAACCACATATTCAGTCCTAGCAGAAAAGGCAAATAAATATGTATATAAACAGGCATGTAAGAAGTCATTAACAACTTAGTCAATTAATGCACAACTGACTAAGCACATTAATTAAACACACAAGTTTGTAATTCATACTACGTTTGAAGATCTTCAAAGATGGAAATTACTAAACCCTCTAAGCAGGCCATTCTTTGAATTCTAACTTCACAAAATGATTCTTACACTGAATCCAAGTATATATATCTTTTTATCTCTACCTTTTTAATCTTAGTCATTGCATTTAGAGTTGTGCAATCAAAACTGTTTCTGTAGAATTTTCTAAAAATTACTTTTTTACCACAATATAGTTTTCTAAATATAGGGGTCTTTCCTCTTCCTCTTCTTCCTCCCTCCCCATTTCCTGTATCCCTGGCTATTATTCCCCAAACGATTACAGTAGTGAAGTCCCTTAGTAGTAATGACAAGATAAACCTTCTGGTATTTAATTGTATCATGATGTGTTAGACTTGGGTAGAGTATCTAGTATCTTGTCGTACAGACATATGAACATGTTTCATAATGGGAGTCCTTTCTTTGGGAATGGAGATGTGCACTGTAAGCACTTTGCTGCCCAGTACACTAGCCTCCATTACACTGTTCATCTGTAACAGTTTATGCATGCATTTGATTACCTACATCTATTTATTTTGTAGTTTGCCTACAAACTGTCTTATATCAGAGAAAACACATGATATTTGTTCTTTTGGTACTGGCTTATTTTACTAAGCATGATGGTCTCCAGCTGGAACCATTTTGCTGCAAATGGCAGGATTCCATTTTTTTTTTTTATGGTTGAGTAGTATTCCATAAAGTTGATACACCAGAGTTCCTTCATCCTTTCATTGGCTGTTTCCATGTCTTCACTTTTGCGAATTGTGCCACTATAAATACGGGTTGCATGTCATTCTCTCATATGCTGATTTCATCTTCTTTGGGTATGTTCCCAAAAGTGGGATAACAGAGTCCTAAAGTAGGTTAATTTTCAGTAGTCTGGGCAGTCTGCGTACTGACTACCATATGGGCACACTAACCTGCACTCCTACCAGCAGTGAAGTAGGGCACCTATTTTCCCACATCCTCAGCAGTTGTTGTTTGCTGATTTCTGTATGTAGGCCATTCTCACTAAAGTTAGATGAAACCTCAATGTGGTTTTTATTTGCAATTTTCTGATGACTAGGGAGCCTAAAGATTTGCTCATACGTCTACTAACCATCTGAATTTGTTCTTTTGAAAAATGCCTGATCATGTCCTTTGCCCATTTCATCACAGGGTTGTTTATTTTGCTGCTATTGTGTTTCTGAGCTCTTTGTAGATCTTGGATATTAGTCCCTTATCTGCTCTGTAGTTTGAAAAGATTTTTTCCCATTCTGTTGGTTACCTGTTCACTTTGTTGACAACTTCCCTTGCTGTACAGAAGCTTCTTCATTTAATGTAGGCTCTTTTATTTTGGTTTTGATGCCTCTCCCTGACTTGTAGAGAGTTCTCTATGTTTTCTCTGGTAATTTAATGGCATCTGGGTGCATGTTTCTGTCCTTGACCCACTGAGAGTTGATTTTTGCATGCAGTGAAAGGTGAGGGACCTTGTTTCTAACTTTTGCAAATAAATATCCAATTATCCCAACAGCATTTGTTGAAGAGACTGAACCTTTTTCCTAGATTATTTTCAGTTCTTTTGTCTAAGATTAGGTGGCTGAACATGTGCGGTCTCTCTTCAGGAGTTTGTGTTTTGTTTCATTTTCTTCTTGTCGATTTCTGTACCAATTCCACACTGTTTTGTTTACTACTTCTCTGTAGTTCGTCTTAACATCTGATACTGCGATTCCTCCCCTTTTGGTTTTATTCTTTAAATAACTGCTATTTGCAGTTTCTTGTGTTTCCAGATTAATTCTTGCATCTTCTTTTCCATTTCTGAGAAGCATGTTGGGATTTTGACTGGGATTAAATTGAATCCGTAGGTTACCTTTGACAATATGGACATTTTGATTATGCTGACTCTACCAGTCTATGAGCATGATGCATTTCTCCATCTTTTAACTTCTTCGATTTCTTTAATGTTTTCTAATATTTGTCAGAAGTTATTCACATCTTTCAGCTTTATCCTAGGTATTATAAGTTTCGTTTCCTCTATTATGAAAAGGACTGTTCTTGCATGTTCTTTCTCACCCATGTAGTAGATTGTATGCACTAAAGGCCATACATTTGTATTCATGGATTTTGTATCTTGTTATCCTGCCAAACTCTTCTGAGTTTCAGTAGTCTCTGCTGTGTCTTCTGATTCTCTTATGTACACAATCATGTTGTCTGTGAGCAATGATAGTTTGATTTCTTCATTTCCATTTGAATTATTTTAATTTCCTTTTCTTTTCTAGCAGCTCTAGCTAGGACTTTCAACACTACGTTGAATAACAGTGGTGAAAGTAGGCAGCCTTATTTGGTTCCAGATCTTAGTAGTAAAGCTTCCAGCCTTTCTTATTCATAGGATGTTGGGTTTTTTTTTAAGATTTGTTTATTTTTATTGGAAATTCAGATATACAGACAGGAGGAAATACAGAGAGGAAGATCTTCCATCCAATGATTCATTCCACAAGTGGCCGCAACACCCTGAACTGAGCCAATCCAAAACCAGGAGCTAGGAGCTTCTTCTGGGTCTCCCACTTGGGTGCAGGATCCGAAGACTTTGGCTGCCCTTGACTACTTTCCTAGGCCACAAGTAGGGAGCTGGATGGGAAGAGGGGCTGCCAGGATTAGAATCAGCACCCATCTGAAATTCCAATGCATGTAAGGAGAGGACATTAGCTGCTAGGCTACCGTGCCTAGGCCAATGTTGGGTTTTTTAATATTGCTTTGATTGTGTTATAGAATATTCCTTCTAGTCCATGTTTCTGACAGTATTTGGCATGAAGTACTGGATTTTATCTAATGCTGTCTTGCATTTATTAACATGACTGTATGTTTTTTACTCTTTATTATGTGGTGTATCACATGTATTGATTTGTGTATTTTAAGCCATCCCTGCATGCCAGGGATAAATCCCATTTGATTCACATGAATAATCTATTTGCTGTGTTGTTGGATTTGGTTAGCTAGTATTCTGTTGGGAATTTTGCCATCTATGTTCATCAGGGATGTTGCTGTATATTTCTCTTTCTCTGTTTTGTCTCTATCTGCTTTTAATATTAAGGTGATGATGGCTTCAGAGAGTTTGAAAGACTACCTCCATTTCTACTGTGGAGAATTGGGGTCAATTGCAGGTGAAGACTTTAGTCACTAGGCTATTGAACTGGGCCCAATAGATGTAGTCTTACTCCACACATTCCTTAGGCAATCTGATCCATTCACCCTGCTTTAACTATTGCCCATTTACTACCGGCTCCTAAGTCTACATCTCTAGCTAAAATTTTCCTCATCAACACAAATCCATTCAATCAACCATTACCATGCATCTCTTCACCACTATTTCAAATTCAAATGTGTTAAAACTTAACTCACAACTTCTCTACGATAATGATACCATCATCTTTCTAGTTACCGAAAGCAGAAATTTGGCAGCCATCTTAGACTCTTTCTACTTCTTTACATCCAACTTCTAATAAATCACAAGTCAAGGAAGGCACAAGTCTTTCATTGCAAACTATTAACAAATACAAATAAATTCATCTGTGGTATACGCACAGGATCTAGTGCAATGGAAAATACAATTCATTGAGTGGCAGAACAACACATTAACATCAGTTGAGTTTGGAACTTGATGAAAAGCGTTTTTGTTACCTTTCCCAGTTGTAGAGCTTAATGTTAATCTGGATTGCCTGATACACAAGGCCGGCCTGAAGAAGCACTGCTTCAGCCTCCTGGATGTTCCCACTGAACATCAGAATGTGGGCTAATTTTGATTCTTTTGATGGAAGATCTTTTATAGAATTGATGTACTGAACCTTATCAATCTAAAAGAAGAATATTTAAGTGGATAAAAACCAGAAACAACAAATCATGGCAAGAAGAAACTTTCAGAAGTAATATAGGTAGGACTCATTGACATACTTCACCAATGGCAGCATAGGCTATTTCTGCACTTGTCATGTCTTGATTTGCAACTGCCATAGCAGCTAGGCAAGCCCACATGGTTTGCTCCTGGTGTGAAAAGACAACAATCAACTCAACTACCTGGCTGAGTCACTTTAAAATGACACTTATTAAACAATCATAATAAAATTACATTTCAATTTTTTTAATTAAATCACCAAATGTGACACTGAAAAAATGAACAACAATAAATTAGCAACCTAGAACCTGCTCTGTGGCTACTTTATTGGAATATATTAATATCACACAGAAACCTTGTTTTGAATAAACATTTCTGAAAATTTTCATGTCTACTTAAGATTAAAGGGTTTATTTTTTTTTATTTTAAATTCTTCAAGATTGTAATAAGACCTCCATTCTTCAGAGGGCTATCAGAGGAATACCTTCGGGTGAACCTGGAGTAAGCCACGGTTCTCAGACAATGCCATCCTGGCACACTGACACCCACCAAGCCCTGCAAGGAAAAGCACCTAGCAGTCATCCCACATACCCTGTTGAGGGGCATCAATAACGCTCAAAGATGCCTGTAGGCAAACATGGTTTAGAAAATACTGGGGTTCAATCAAATTGTAAAATATTGATCTATTACCTTAGTTGTAAATGATACTTATGGTTAAGTGACATTCCAGATGGAATAATTCAAATCTCTAGGGGAGGGAGGTAGAACTGGGAAACCTGACTTTTAAACAAGTTTCACAGATGTTTTTGTATGTGCTTATTTATAGAAGCCACTGATCTAAATTCACATTTTCTTAAAGAATAAAGACAACATCTAACCCTCTGTGGTGCTCAAGTCTTCACTTATAAAAGAATCCCACCTGCAGTTGTTCAGCCCTTCTCTAGTACCAGTATTCCTCTGTTACAGACCAACTAACCCACAGCACACAAGGCAGCAGAGGGGAAACAGCAGGCACCTTAACGAAGCGGCACAGCCTCACAGCATCCTCCCATTTCGAGCTGCTCACGTACTCGTGGAGAATGGCAGGATACGGGGATATGCTGATGTGAACCAGGGAGCCATCAGCTCTTCTTATAGTTATCTGATTTCCAACAAAACTCACAATGTGAGGATTTTTACTAAATTCACTGTTGAAGCAAAAGCAAAGTACAACTTAAAAATACCTTTTGAGCAAAATTTTTCATATATGTTAAATTTAGGGAGTTAGACCTCTGCCATATTTATATGTGAAGTCTCCAATCTAACAAGGACCCTCAGAATAGTCAACTCCAGGGAGAATGCATATATTTAAGAAAACATCTGAACACAGCTTGCTATCTAGATCTAGATACAAAACATACAGACTAAAGTGGCAAAACATATTACATATTTGAGAGCTACTTCTAAAAACATCTGAAGTGATCTTTTTTTCTGAATATTCAGGTAAACTATGTAAATGCTTAAGTAACTTGGCTTTTTGCTTGATTCTTTTCATTAATTTCCTCAGCCAGCATGCCCTGGAATCCATATGGGCGCCAGCTGCTCCACTTCCCATCCAGCTCCATGCTTGTGGCAAAAGAGGATGTCTCAAAGCCTTGGGATCCTGCACCTGTGTGAGAGACCTAGAAGACACTCTTGGCTTCTGATTAGCTCCGCTCGGGCCATTGTGGCCACTTGGGGAGTTAACCAACAGATGGAAAATCTTTCTGTTTCTCCTTCTCTCTGAAAATCTGACTTTCCAATAAAATTTTAAAAGTCTTTACATAAATAAATAGTAATAAAATTCTTTTTAAAGAATGGTGTTGGCACAATGGCTGAGCAGATAATCCTTAGCCTGTGGCACCGGCATTTTACAGGTGTCAGTTCCAGTTCAGGCTGCTGTTCCACCTCTGCTCCAGCTCCCTGCTAATGGAAACCAACAGGGGATAGCTCAAGTCTGTGTGTGCCTATGCACACGTGGGAGAACCAAAAAAAGCTCCCGGCTCTCAAAGCTGGAGTGGTCCAGCTCTGGCAGTTTCAGCCATTTGGAGGGCAAACCAACAGATGGAAATCTCTCACTCTTTCTCTCTCTCTGTGTGTGTGTATCTGTCTGTCTCATCCTCTCTCTGTAACTTTGCCTTTCAAGTAAAATAAATTTTTAAAAACTTCTAAAAGTGAATTTAATTTTGATGCCTCTCTGATCTTACTAAGGTTGTGAATTTGATTAAATATTAAAAATGAACTCAAAGCATCCCTGAGGACTAATACAAGAATTTTATTCAAAAATCCTTTTACTTTTGTTTTGTCAAGAGTATCAGAACTTGGGGACAGCATGTGGTGCAGTGGGTAAACCTGCCACTGGTATCCTATATAGCCATTGCCTTGAGTGCTGGTGTTCCATTTCTGATGTAGCTTACTGCTGATACTCCTAGAAAAGTAATGCTGGATGGTTCAAGTCCATTGGACTCTGCACCCATGTGAAAGAACTAGAAGAAGCTCCTGGCTTGAGATAGGCCAATTTCCAGCCACTGCAGCTATTTGGGAAGCGAAGTAAACAAGTAAACAAAAGATCTTTCACTGTCTCTCCCCCGCCCCCTCTGTAACTCTGCCTTTGAACTAGATTAAGAAATCTTTAATAAAAAAAAAAACACAAATCTATAACTCTCATATATATAAAGAGAACTTATTATTACGTTATTTCTTAGAGAATTTAGGGATATGTTTGATTTTCTGTACTTTCAATTTTTGTATTTTAATATCAAACCAAAAAATCCTCTATAACTACAGAGACACATATAAAAATACTTTAAGCTCATATAGTTAATCATAATTTGTGTATTGTGTAGTTGTCAAAAGATTGAGCATTGACTGAAAAATCTTTTGTGTTTCTATACGAAAAACCATTAAGTCACATTAAAATAACTAACTGAGCTAACATTAGACAATACTAAACTTGAAAAGCCTTATAAAAATAATGGATAAATAGTTCATATTATATAACATTTTCAGCTGGATTCCATCACTAAAATTTCATTAATTCAGTTTCAGCTGAACTACTTATTTTTTTGAATATGAATTAAGCTTGAACTTAGAGGCAAAAACATGATGTCATTGGGCTTATTTACCACATCAAAGGAATCTATGCATTAAAACATTACCTTGCATCCTTTTCATACAATGTTTTGGACAAAATGTCTCTGTCCACATACACTGTATGAGGGTAATACCACACTGTCAGTCGAGTATCTTGGAGTCCGGCAAGGATATTGCACGTATCACACCATGCTAAAGTATGCACCATCGTTCCTTAGGACGAACAAAGTTAACACGCTGTTAGTGTCAATATGCATTAGAACTGCATTGTATAATAGTGAAAATACATGTACTAATTCACATGAGAAAATGTGAAAATACTGAAAATTCTTCCTAGATCCATTATATTTTTAATTTGCAGGTCTTTCCTTTCATTGTCAATTTAGTTGGAGCAGCTAAAAACTTGCTGCTAAGACAGAGTTAAGTAGCTAAGCAATGTTCCCAGAGATTTATTCAAGTAAACTATTAATATGTCACAGAGTAGTTCAAAGTAAAATAACATTAATTAAAATTTAAACATGTTAAAATTATTTTACCAAGTTTGATAATTTGTTCTTCCTTCCCAAATCGCTTCACGGAAGTGATATAGAGATCTCTATTTTTATCGATGAAAGCAATTTTTCTATCATGGGTAAGTCCTTTTTGGTCCAGAGCAATTTCTAAGATTTCATTCTAAGATTTAAAACAAAAATGTATAAACTGGATTAGCTCCGGTGCTTGACATAGGTCATTTAAGTTATTTAATAAAAAGATCATTTCACTGCTACAAACCAAGTAAATGTTATTCACCTAATGTAATGATAAACTATCCCCCTTTAATAATTTTTAATTGCTAATTCACTAATAATTTAAAAGTTGTACAGAAAGTATACTTATGTTGACTAAAATCCAAAGATCCATAACGTACAATGAGCAGTACGTATTTTCAAGCTTGGTCAGGTGAGTACCTCCGCCATGTGTGCTCTGTCCTCCCTTCAGGAGACAAGGATGAGGATGTGGCAAATCTGAGTGCCACCTGGGAGGGCCAACCTCATCAATACGTTTCTTATACCACAATTGATTCTAAGTAGACTGTGTAACATTGACACTTTAAAGAGCTGTAAGAATACATTTCAGTTTACATGTAAACAGCTCATGCTTCCAAAGCCCTAAATTGCACAAAATTTCATATATATTTCATGTGAAATAAGAGATTTGATGTGGGTATATACTTACTTTGCAAATGATTCACAAATAATTTTGCTCAGAAAAAGCTGGTACTAGCATACCTAAACCTTGCAACATAGACTTTTGACTTTAAAATGACTATTTTCCCCAGAATAACAAAATCATTTGCACATACTGCATTAAGAATAATAATGTAATAGCTAGTGAGATTAATTTTTTTAAAAAAATATTTATTTTTATTTGAAAGGCAGATATACAGAGAGAAGGAGAGTCAGAGAGAAAAGATCTTCAATCTGTTGGTTTACTCCCCAAATGCTACAACATCCAGAGCTGTGCCAGAAGCCTCTTCCAGGTCTCCAGGTGGGTGCAGGGGCCTAAGGACTTGAGCCATCCAACACTGCTTTCTCAGTCCATGAGCAACGAGCTGGATGGGAAGTGGAGCAACTGGAATGTGAAATGGCACCCTAAGGAATGCCCGTGTCACAGTATGGATGATTAGCCTGTTGAGCCACAACGCTGGCCCCCAAGATGAATTTTCTTGTAACTTGGAAATGGTTCAGTATGGATTCATTTCAATTCAATTTAAGAGGGGTTTGTTTACTGTCAACTATATCTGAAGACTAAATTCAGCAAGAATTACAATCACACCATTAAGTCACTGCACTATAAGACATTTTAAAATAGGACAAAATGCATATTAATCTTTATCCAAACTGATGGATTAGTTCATAATGATTTTATAATTTAGCTCTTCTCTATAATACAATTTATATTTTAAGGAAGAAAATAATTTTGTTGCATGTATATGAAGGCATATATGAAGTAAAACTCCTTTTTAAAAAAGTATTTATTAAGTCAGAGTTATAGAGAACTAGATCTCCGTCTTTACTCTCCAAATGTCCAGGCAGGTCCATTAGGCAGATCTGAAGACAGGAGCTTGTCACACGTCCCCCACATGATACAGGGGCCCAAGCTCTCGGGCCATCCTCCCCTGCCCTCCCAACCACATTCACAGGGAGGTGGATCAGAAGTGACCAACCAGGACTTGGAGCAGTGTCCACACTGGATGTTGACATGCCGGGGGCGGAGCTGCTATATCACAGCTCTCTAGTATTTTCAAAAAAGAAATCATTCAGAGAAACACTATCTTTACCATAAATACTTGCTTTTCATCATCATCAAAGGGACCTCATATATTTTTTAAAACATTGTTAAACACATGGGATTCTATCATGTAAGAAATTCAAAATTTAAACTGCACAATAACATAGCAGTACCTATGTGCACAGGTGAGATTCCTTCCTTATTCATCAGGTCTTCTCATTTTCCTTTTGTCCACTGTTATATACCTTTTAAGTCTTCTAAATATATACTGTATAACTGAATGAAGTGTGTGACTTAGGAGTCACCCTCACCTAATAATCAGAAAATTTTTACATTCCTTCTATTTAGGTAATTCTTACATTTACTAAAAAAAATACTGTTTCTAAGGGGCATAGCGCAGTAGCCTAGTGACTAAATCCTTGCCTTGTATGTGCTGGGAGCCAATATGGGCACCAGTTTGTGTCCGGCTGTTCCACTTCCCATCCAGCTCCCTGCTTGTGGTCTGGGAAAGCAGTAGAAGATGGCCCAAAGCCTTGGGGCGCTGCACCCACGTGGGAGACGTGGAGGAAGTTCCTGACCTCTGGCTTCAGATTAGCTCAGCTCCAGCTGTTGCAGCTGCTTGGGAAGTGAACCAGTGAGCAGAGGATCTTTCTGTCTCTCGTCTCTGTGTATCTGCCTTTCTAATAAAATAAAATAAATCTTTAAATATATACATATACTTAAATATGTGTATATATTCTTAAGAAATATATACATATATGTGTGTATATGTGTGTGTGTATATATGTGTACATATATGTATATGTTCTTGAGAAAATGCTCATGGATAGAGTTGAAAGACAGCAGAGTAAGCTGCTACTTAGAATGCTGGCATCCCATATGACAGTGCCAGTTCAAGTCCTGGCCGTTCCACGTTCAATTCAGCTTCCTGTTATTGTGACCAGAAAGGCAGTAGAAATGGCCCAAATACTGGGATCAGTACCACCCATCCCTGTAGGAGACCAGAAGCTTCTGAATGTTGCAGCCAGTAAGGGAATAAACAAACAAATGGAAGAGATCTTTATCTTTGCCTCTGTTACTCTGCCTTTCAACTAACTAAATAAATCTTAAAACAAATGTTTATCTTTCTTAAATAAATGGTTTATCTCAATCTGACTAACAAAAACGACCACATCTTGAAAAGTTGAGACATGCACTAATTTTTATATGCTTAATCGTACTGAAAATGAAACATTCTGCTTGCATAGTCCTGAGTCAAAACAACAGCAAAGGAAACAATGCAGGGAAATAAGCACCTACTGTATTCCTACTGGGAAGGTAAACTGATACAATCGCTCTGGAAAGTAAATTGACAATGTTTATTAAAATTATAAATGCTCATACCCTGCAACTGAATTTCAAGAATTAATTTAAAAAGCTAAAAGCATTAATCTACAAGAGTTAGTCTTGTGGTACAGCAAGTAAAGCCACCACATACAACGCTGGCATCCATATGGGTGCTGGTTCTGGTCCTGGCTACTCCACTTCAGATCCAGCTCCCTGCTAATGTGCCTAGGAAAGCAGCGGAGTTTAGCCCAATCCCTTAGCCCCTGCACGTGGGAGACCCAGAAGTTCCGGGATCCATTGTGGCCACTGGGAAATTAAACTGTGGATGCAGGCTCTATCTTCTCTCTTGTATTCTCTATAACTCTTTAAATAATAAATCCAAAAAAATTAATTTATAATTATGCCAGAATATGTACAAGAATATGTATATATAAGGCAATCCATCTTGGCAACACAATAGCAGTAAGACTGTAGACAATTTAAATATCTGTTAAGTGTTAATGTCTAATACATTCATAAAATATTAGACAATACAGTGATGGAGAAAAGAGTAGGGAAAGCACTGTATATAATATGGAAAATTTCCCCAAATTGCTGTATAAAAAGGCCAGGTGCAGAGTTGTATGTGCATTTTTTAAATAAGAAGGGACAGAATGTAGCTCATCTTTGTACCTATTTTAAAAGTCTCCAGAAAGATACACAAGATAAAAGTTGTTACTTCTTCAATAAAGAGAAACTATACTTAGAATACCTACGGAGGGTGATGTTCTTTGTATTTAAAAAATGTATTTATTTACTTAAAAATCAGTTACACAGGGAGAGGAGGAAAGAGAGAGACAGAAAGAATCTTCCATCTGCTTGTTACAATCAATAGCCAGGGCTGGGCCAGGCTGAAGCCAGGAGTCTTGAGCTTCTTCTGGGACTCCCACAAGGGTGCAGCAGCCCAAGCATTTGGACCATCTTTTGCCATTTTCCCAGAAAATTTTGTATCAGAGCTCGACCAGCTGGGATTTGAACTGACTGCACAGATGATGTCTTTACCTGCAACACCACAACACCAGCCCCTAGGATGGCATTTTCACTGCACATTTTATACAAATATATTGATTATTCAAATTTTAAACTAATAATTACAAAAAGCAGAAAATATAATTTAAAATATTACCTCACTAGAAGTATCCAATAATAAATTTTAAAATATCTTTAGACTTTAATATGCCAATTATTTAGAAGGATAACTCTATATAATGAGTACAATGTGCTTTATTATTTTTAGGACAAAAATCATAAACTGTAAACAATTCACAACTCAGGATTTCTTGTACTGCTAGTGAGAATAATCTCTTTTCTAGTTTGGCTATAATATGAAAACTTAAAGCTCTACCTCCTCTAGACATTTGGAGAAAATTACAAGATGCTCAGAAAGAAAATATTTTTATTCATTATTAGATGCTAAAAGTCTAATAAAAATATAATGGGCTATGGAAAAGCAATAAAGGGCCTGGACAATGGATACACACATCACATCTTTTTATGCAGTTAATTTGCAGCTGCTGGCTTCCCATTCCAGGTCTAAGTATCTTAAGATAGCTTCTTCTTAGAAAGAATACTCTAACATGTGTGTACACGTTAAATATAAACCCAATTTTTAAATTTTCTCCCATAAAATGCAAATAAGAATTTAAAAAAATAAGTAAATTAGCAGCAGCTATTTACATTGGAAATCGCTGAGGTCATTACCTTATGAGAAAGAAGCTTCCCATCACCTAATGGCTTTCCAGTTGTCGCCTCAAAGAGGAAGATGACTTGAAAAAAAAAGTACAATACAAATTAATGTGTTGTATTAGATTCTTAGAAAGGAAATTATTTGAAAGGCAAAGAGACAGGAAAAAAACCCTCCATCTGTTGGTTCACTCCTGAAATAAAATTTTAATGGAAAATGTTGGTGAGAAATTATTCAGTTCTTTGGGCCACAGACGAAGAGAAGCACAGAACTCCTACTTATTAATGAGGTCACGTTTCTTCAAGACACGCAGAACAACTGTAGAACAGAAGACTACTTTCTCAAACACCTTCATGAATAGTATGGCCAGGCAAAATGTTGTGTACAGCTAGTTTTTTGTTGCTAATGCATTACTAATGGTACAGTAATCTGTCTGGTCTTAATTAAGGTTATCCATAGAAATTCCCAAAGCCTTGGAATGCTGAGCCACGGCAGTGTCATCATTATGCTACCAAGAAGAGTCCTGGTGGGTCTGTAGACAGCTGCAGGATAAGGGCTGATACTCAAGTAGACTAAACTTAGGATGAGAAGGTGGGAACGTTCAGGTTCCTGATTTCTGGAGATGTGAAAGGAATTGGCTCATGAGGTCAGGCATGTGGCCTGTGACTTGACCATCATCCTGTGTAATAAAATCCCATACAGACTCTGGACAACTCTGAGGACCGTCCTGTTTGGAGAACTCACGGTCTGGCTGCGAAGATGAGGCGTCCTGTGTCACTCCCCAGGCCTCATGCTGTGGACAGCATCTATAATAAAGTCCTAATTCTATGGATGGCTTCCTTGAGATCTCTGACTCATTTCAGCAAATTATACAATCTGACAGGAGCATGGGAACCACTGAAATTGTAGCCAGTGGCCATGTTGTAGCCAAAGGGCCTGGGAGTCCCTGCGGCTTGTGGCTCACATCTGAGCTGTGGTGGTCTGGCGGAGGACTGTGCCCTTAAACACTGGGTTCTGCCATAAATCCCAGTAGTGACAGAAATGAACTGCCCCAGTTGAGAGGAAAATAAAATGGTGATGTTATTAGGAAACATAAGGTTTGAAAAATGACGCACTCACTGAAACTTGTTATTTGGGAAGAGAAAAGAAGGAAAGGATGAGGAACCTTCGATGCTTCCATGTCACAGGTTGACCATGATACAAAACAGCTGTTATGTTGCAATGAACCGTGGGACATAAAGCTTAGCCATGAAGTTTAGAAACAATTGATTTGACTCTTAGAGAACTAATTTACTAAATATGTAAGAAAATGCAAAACAATAAAAAAAAGTGGGGCCAGCATTGTAGCATAGTAGGGTTAAGCTACAACTTGCAACACCAACACCCCACATCAAGGTGCTGGTTGGCGTCCTGGCTACTTACTTCTAATTAAACATCCCTCAGACTGGGCTGAATGCCGTGCCACTCCCCTGGGGTCCCGCGAAGGACTTCCTCAGTCCTAGCTCTGGCACAGCTCAGACTGGGCTGAATGCTGTGCCACTCTCGTGGGGGCCCGGATGGACTTCCTCAGTCCTAGCTCTGGCGCAGCTCAGACTGGGCTGAATGCCGTGCCACTCCCGTGGGGGCCCGGATGGACTTCCTCAGTCCTAGCTCTGGCGCAGCTCAGACAAGGCTGTTGAGACTATTTGGGAAACAGAAGATGAATGAACTCTCTTTTTCTTTCGTTATTTTGCTCTCTGTTGTTCTGCCTTTCAAATAAATAAATACATCTTTCAGAAAAATAAAGGAAATTAGAGAAAAATGTGATCTATTAGTTATTATAATCCAGTAGTTACTGGTAATTGTAAACGTTAAAATAAAGACATGGATGAAATATAAATTCTAAGCAGCCTAAATTACAGTTGCTGGATCTCTCTTGAAGGAATGGGGAAGATCCTGATGCTGGCCACTTCCAGGTAAATCTAGTAGTTTCTTTTTTTTAAAAAAAAATTTAGTTATTTATTAGTGGGCCCGGTGTGGTGGCGCAAGTGGTTAAGGTCCTCGCCTTGCACGCCCGGGATCCCATGTGGGCACCGGTTCTGTCCCGGCAGCCCCATTTCCCTTCCAGCTCCCTGTCTGTGGCCCGGGGAAAGCAGTCAAGGATGGCCCGAGGCATTGGGACCCTGCACCCGCGTGGGAGACCCAGAAGAGGCTCCTGGCTTCAGACCGGCACAGTATTGGCCCTTGCGCTCACTTGGGGAGTGAATCATCAGATGGAAGATCTTCCTCTCTGTCTCTCCTCTTTGTATATCCGCCTTTCCAATAAAAAAAAATAATAAAAATAAATCTTTAAAAAAAAAATGTGAATGAATATGGCAAATGTTGCCAGGGTAAAAACAGGGGTGGGTAGAGTTCCTGCTGATACCCTAACACTTAAGAACTTTAAATATAATTCATTCATCCTAGTTAGGAAAAAATTTGGAATGCTAATGGCAACAAGACACCTGATTTCATCTAAGATAAAGACTAGGGAAGGGCCAGTTAAGTTCTGAAAACCTTACACACATTAGTGAGCAAACATGTCAGACAGTGAAGAAGTTTCTAAGACACTTTGATGTGGGTATGCCCTACACTGTGGTGCTCAAATCCATTGGTGAAGTCCTAAGTACTTTACAATCCACAGTGTCTATCAGGCAGAGAGATATCATCAGAGTAACAGTTTGATAGATAATTATAATGTGCCATGGCAACACTGGTTGTCTGGATTGGGTTCGAGGCAGGGATAGAGACAGGCATGAAAGGCTGCCTCACATGCCTGCAGGAGTGCATACTCACCCTAAAAGACTAAACGGAATGGAGCATCTGCACCAGATACATACTTTTGTTTTTCTGGTGTGTCTGGGGAACAATGGATAGGGAATGGGGGGGAGGGAGGGGTTGAATTCTCACTCCCTTTGGCCAATTTGGGGTTAACACTGATGCAACTCTACTGTCTAGTGATAAAAATATCCCATCGGTTACCATACAAATGGAAAGGAGAAATTATAGCTGAGAGAGAAGGAATGAGTAAATGGGTTATCTGATGAGTGAAACCTAATATTACAGTAATGCTTCACCAGAGACTCGACTAGATAATGATATTGTCTCTTAGCTCAATTATACCAGATGCTTCAAAGGGTGAGGACATATATTACTCCTTGCTTTTGGAAACCAACAAAAGTGAATTGAGGGCCCAGCACAGTGGCCTAGCATTAAAGTCCTTGCCTTGAATGCATTGGGATCCCATCTGGGTGCTGGTTCTAATCCCAGTAGCGCCGCTTCCCATCCAGCTCCCTGCTTGTGGCCTGGGAAAGCAGTCAAGGAAGGCCCAAAGCCTTGGGATCCTGCACCCACGTGGGAGACCTGGAGGAAGTTCCTGGTTCCTGGCTTTGGATTACTGGCTGTTTACTGGCTGATTACTTAGGAAATACTGGCTGTTGCGGTCACTTAGGGAGTGAATTATTGGATGGAAGATCTTCCTCTCAGTCTCCCCTCCTCTCTGTATATCTGACTTTGCAATAAAAATAAATAAATCTTTTTTAAAAAGTGAATTGAATCCCACAAACTTCAGTAACTTTAACTTGGGTGACACTTTGGTCACAAAACAGAATGATGGATTAGACAAATTACTAATCCCTAGAAAGGCTCTAATAATATTAGTGCTGATATCTTTTGACTTCTATTTTCTTACATAATATAACACTGGCATTGTTGGTAAGAGTGCAATGCTGATGTTGGTGGACAAATGTATTGGCAGTTGAATTAAAAACTGCCAATCCCTATCCCATATTGACTTTAAGAAAAAATGGGCAGACTCATGTTGGCACTATTGGTGGAAATGACTCCTGTTATAAAGGACTAATAGTCAAAACTTAGGGGTGACATGTAACATAATAAATAATTTATCCTGGGCTCTTGGCCTGGAGTTGTTTTTTTTTTAAGGTTTATTTATTTTTATTTGAAAGGCAAATTTTTTTCAGAGGAGAGATAGTGAGATCTTCCATCTGCTGATTCACCCCCTAAATGGCTGTACCCGCCAAAGCTAAGCTGATCCACAGTTTGAAGCCAGGAGCTTCTTCTGGGTCTCCCACGTGGCAGCAGGGTCTCAAGACTTAGGACCATCTTCTGTTGTTTTCATAGGCCATAAGTAGAGAGCTAGACTGAACATGGAGTAGCCAGAACACCAACTGGCACCCTTAATGGATGCCTCCTGCACCACTATGCCAATCTGGTCCATAGTTTGTAAACTTAAAAATGCTCAAAATTACTTAATTGATAGCTGTCTTTGTTATAGTGATCTAGGAATCTGGGGGCGAGGGAGCAGAGACAAATGGTTTCAGAATACCCACCTGGTAAGAGAGATCTAAAACAGTCACACTGACAGAGAGGCAAGGCAGAATGGAGGCTGCCAGAGGAACAGGAAAGGGCAAACGGGAACTGTTACTCAACATGCATAAAGTTTCAATAATGCAAGATGAGTGAGTTCCACAAGTCTGATATACAATATCATGCCCATGGTTAAAATATTATATCATAGACAAAAAAAAAAAAAAACAGGAGTGAAGATGACAGATCTCAAATTGTTATCACCATAAAATTAAAATAAATTAATTCCAATCTTTCTCAAGAAAAGGGTGGAGAGGTTATTTGACACAGCAGTTAAGATCCTACTTGGCACACTTGCATTCCATACGGAGTTCCAGTCCTAGCTCTGCTCTCAATCCCCCTCTCTGCTGGTGCATACTCAGGAATGTAGTCGGGAATGGTTCAAGTACTTCCGTGCCTTCTACGCATGTGAACAAGCTGACCTGAGTCCCCAGTCCCAACTGACAGTCAAGCATTTGGGAAATAACCAGAGGATGAGAAAATCTCCCTCTTTCTCTGGCTCTCTTCTTCTTTTGCTGTATATTCAAATAAAATTTAAAAAAAAATAAATAAAATTAACAGCAAAAAAAAAAAAAAGGAGAATTGCTTGGATCCCTGAAATAGAAATGAGATATTAAGATCATGATGAGGGTCCAACTTGGTAGCCTAGCAGCTAAAGTCCTCGCCTTGTATGCACTG